TGGTCGAAGCACTTGGGTCACGGTCACCATGCCAACCCACAGGGAGTAGTGCACGCATGCGATGGCTGCTGCCCTGTTTGGCACTTGCTGCGCTGATAGAAGTTCCTCCGGGTGTGCCAGCCCATGACAGACGCTTACCAGACCGTCTATAAACATTTCTGGTTGGGAGTTCRTTGTGATTCTGGYTGTGATCGTCGTCYTGACTGCGACRTTAAATAATTCCTGAAGAGATAGGGGCGCTCTATAAATCCCTCCTGATCAGCCAGATCACATGGACAGGAAGGCTCGTCGCCGTACGAGGGTAAATAAGAGTGGTTGGGCTGGCTTGCTCGGTGACAACTTGGGCACAGGGGTGGGCCGACATACACACGAAGACACTGCCTGCTCAATGATGCTGTTCGGATGGTTGGATTGAGGGGAAGGGTAGGTTCCAATTGGTGCTCAACTGTAAACACAACAATACCCATCAATCATACATCTGCTATATTGTCTTTTGTACTTTGATTAGTTGGTTGATGGACTGCTACCCTCACAGACAGATTAGTTTAGGACTGTTGTATGCTACCATAGCCAGTTCTAACTAACGCTGTTGTAAGTGAACCATTCAGGGTGCGTCTAGACAATGTAGACAGTCTGTGTGAATGTTGTAGACATGCCACTTGATTCGGTATAGTAGGATACTCGCCGGACACAACTATTGTTAGAAAATTAGGTGCCGGTCAGATACATGCTGTGGTAGGATTCCACTAGGGGATTCTAGTGCAGAAACTATCTGCCTAACTAATGAGTGGATCAGAACCTGTTGATGATAGAGCAGACACTAGAAGATTAACACGTACACAGGCACTAAGGGTACCACATGTGTTCAGGACCTTGGACGAGGAAGAATTAAGACAACTTCGCGCCGAAAGCAGAGCCCGTGCTCTCGCAGCATCGAGAGCAACAGCAAACGCCGCAGCTAGGGAACAGGCTGCCACAGCAGCTAGGGCAGCAGCCATGACTAGCTCAGCAACATCCTCTTCGGCTTTGTCAGGGACTAATGGGATGAGTGTGGGAATGCCAACTAGTTCCACAAGTTCCTCGGGCACTTCCGGGTCTACAGGCTCTGGAGGGTCTTTTAGTCAAATGGCAGGCTCGCAGTTCAGCCCCATGACCGCACGAGAGCGGGAGCTCAAAGAGATCCAACAGGTCGAGAGGCTCCGCCAACAGTTAGAGGAGGATCTAAAGAAAGCAACCGATAGAGAAAAAGAGATAAAAAGTAGAGCAGCCAGACTTGATACGTTAGAGGCTGACAAGGCTGCGTTAGAGGGATTGGACGAATCAAGTTTGTCTGACCCCCTGAAAGTGTTGAGGGACAACATGTCGTCACTGCATGCGCATGTGGACAGCAGGATGGACTTCATGCAAAGCACGTTGGACCAGATCCTAGATGCGTTGACAAAGCCAGGATTCCGGCCACCAGCACAATCGTCGTTGCCGTTAACGGCGATGTCAGGCCCCTTTGCCGTACAAGTTGGCACACAGCCAAGTGGCACATCCGCAGCAGCAGTACAGACTGTTGCATCTTCTTCTTCGGGTCCAGTGGTGATTGCTGCATCACCACAACAACCTGTTCAGTCAACTGGACAGCCGCAAGGTCAATGGTATCCCAAGACCCCAATGAAACCACCTCTTGCCTTCTCAGGCGAGAGAAAGGACGAGGAACTCAACACATGGTTGAGGACGGTCCCAGTTTGGGTGAAGGCCAAAAGGACCTTGCCTGAGGACGAAGTGGTAACTGCGGCATCTTACCTTGAGGGTAAGGCAGCCAAGTGGTTAGATGGTGTAGTTGTGAAGGCCGGGTACGGGAGACGCATGGCGGATTGGGCTAAGTCATTGACTTTAGACCAATTCATGGAGATGGTAGACGCTCGATGGCATAACCCACAGGAGGCTCAAAGGGCCACTGATGCCATTAACAAACTTGACCAACGCAAGTTCAGGTCAGTTAGGGAGCTTACGACTACCGTCTAGAGCCTCATCCTCATCTCAGGCATCAACTACAGTGACCAGTTCCTTTTAACCACGTTTGTTAGGTGTTTACCTGAGAACATGAGGAACTTACTAGCCAGTGAGGCACGCAATGAGTACCACTCATTTGAGACATTGTCTAGGAAAGTTTTAGACTTAGAGGCCACGCTAGGCAATGCTCAACCCACCTCAGGAAATGACTCAAAGAAGAAGAAGAGTCCTCAGGAGTGGAAGAAGAAGGGGGCAAAGTTAATGAGTCTGATGGGACTCAAACTGAGATCGATGAGCTCTCTGACCTAATGGACTACTCAGAGTATGATGGCGAGGAGGTAGTTGAGGCTAGCACCCTCGCCGCGGTAGTAAGGACTAAGGCAGGTGGCCGAGGGAAGGGCCAACCTAGGAGTCAAGGGAAGGCCGCCTCCAATCAGTCCAAACAGGCTGAGTGGGTCAAGGCAGGTCTTGACCAGGACGTGTGGCGTGACCGCCGATCGCGTGGCGCTTGTATCAACTACGGTGAATACGGACACACGCAGTGGAAGTGCCCGAACGCTAAGGTTACGCAAAAGGTTGCACCAAAGGTTGGGGCAACTATTTCCCAGGCTTCTAGCTCGGGAAACGCGTAGGGCCAGTGGAAGTGATAGCGGCTGCTACTCAAGATGAAGTGGGAATGATACCCTCCTCACTTCATGACAAGGCCGAAGCTAATGACTCCTTAGCTACCCCGCAGACGCATCTAGACCAAACTATGCTCTGTACGTTAGATGTGTCTGAGGCCTTAGAAGACTTAGAAGGCGAGTGGTCAAACAAGGACCCCGGTGAGTCTTGGGTGGCGCTAAAGAAGGGTCCTAGAGGGGAACATTTCATTGTGGAAGTGGATGTAGGAGGCCGCAAATGTGGTGCCTTCATAGACACAGGCTCCACGCGAAATTACATAAGTCGCGACTGTTTGGAAAGGCTGCACCTACAGGACCGGGTACGGCACCTTAGTAGACCAGTAGCATCTACTTTGGCCAACAAGAAGCGCATGATTGTTACAGACTACCTCAAGGACGTAGTTTGTACCCTCTCCTATGGAGGAGGTGAGCTTAACCATAAAATCTCGTTCTTGGTTAGTAACGACTTGCCATTTGACATGTTGCTAGGCATGTACTACCTCGATACTGCTAAACCCCAGTTTGACTGGGATAAGAAGGTGCTCAAACAGAAGTTGCCCGATGGCCGAACTGTCATAATGACTAAGTTCAAGGCCAGCAGTATTGTAGATACATATGGTTGCTTGTGTGCATCAGCGTTCTACAATTATTACAAGCAAAACCAAGAGGAGGGTATGTACCTTGTTTATGTCTCTGAGAAGGGGGAGGCCGTTAAAACACCCCCAAAGATAGAACGCGTCGTTGCTAAGTTCCCTGATCTGTTCGAGGAGCCCACAGGAGTTGTTGATAGGGAAGTCGTCCATGCTATAGAAATCATTCCAGGGAGTAAGTCCCCAAAGGGAAGGATCTATAGGATGGCCCCTGCCGAGTTAGATGAACTTCGGAAGCAACTCAAGGAGCTGACAGAGAAGGGATGGATTCGGCCTAGTACTTCCCCTTACGGATCACCCGTGCTATTCGTACCGAAAAAGGGGGGTACTTTGAGGATGTGCATTGATTATAGGGGCCTCAATGCCATCACTGTGAAAAATGCAGAGCCTCTACCTCGCATAGACGACCTATTGGATAGAGTGCAGGGATGCAAGTACTATACGAAGACAGACTTGAAATTCGGATATCATTAGATCGCGATAAGACCTGAGGACCAACACAAAACAGCTTTTCAGACTAGATATGGTCTGTATGAGTTTGTAGTGACGCCTTTCGGTCTTTGTAATGCGCCGGGTACATTCGAGCACGCTATGAATCGGATCTTCCATTACCATTTAGATAAGTTTGTCGTAGTCTATCTAGACGACATTCTGGTCTTTAGTAAGTTTGCCGAGGAGCACGCACAACATGTTGAGACAGTTCTCTCACTCCTACGACATCACAAGTATAAAGTCAACTTAGAGAAGTGTGAATTCGGTCGCACTAAGATACTATACTTGGGTCATGAAGTATCCGCGAAGGGGATTAGGCCGGAAGATGCGAAGGTGGCTAGTATTCGAGACTGGCCACGACCTCAGACAGTCACTGGGGTCAGATCACTCTTAGGAATGTGCGGCTACTATAGGAACTTCGTAAAGAACTATTCTACAGTCACCTCTCCTTCGACTGATCTAACTCGACAAGACACACCGTGGGACTGGAGTGATGAGTGCGAGGGTGCTTTTAAGAAATTGAAGCATGCACTCATGAATCATGAAGTTCTCATGGTTCCCGATCCGCAAAAGCCATTCATAGTGACCACTGACGCAAGCCAATACGGCATTGGCGCAGTGCTGGCTCAGCAGGATGGGAAAAAGTTGAGACCGATTGAGTACATGAGTAAGAAGATGCCATCGAAGAAGTTGGCTAAGTCCACCTACGRAAGGGAACTCTAKGCTCTCTACAAGGCACTTGTCCATTGGAGACACTTCCTTTCGGGAAGGTTCTTCTATCTGAGGACTGATCATCAGACCCTCAAATGGATCAAGACTCAACCGGCTCTTTCCGATGCACTCAAGCGATGGATTGAGGTCRTAGACCAATATGACTTCAAGCTTGAGTACCCGAAGGGAGAGTACAACAAGGTTGCAGACGCGCTATCCCGTAGAGCAGACTACCTAGGTGCGCTAATTTATGAATTTGGCGTATCTAATGAAGTAACTCAATCATTGGTGGGGGCCTATCAGGAAGACCCTGTCCCGATGGACATCATCCGCAAACTTCAGGCAAAAGACAAGGCCACAGAAAGTGAGTTTGTGATGGTGGGTGGGCTAATCTATCTTGATAAGGCCGGAGTAAAGAGATTGGTAGTTCCATCTAGTGAACAGTTGCGTAGTTTGTTTTTAGGCGAATGTCATGACGCATCTGGGCACTTTGGCTACAAGAAAACGAGTGCTAACTTAGTACAACGATTTTGGTGGCCCAGAATGTTAGATGACGCAAATAAGTATGTTGAGACCTGTCAGGTCTGTCAGCGGGACAAGCTGCGAACTCAAGCACCGCTTGGGTTATTGAAGCCTTTACCTATTCCTGATGGTCCAGGATTGAGTGTTTCCATGGATTTCACGGACACTCTTGTGACCAGCAAGAGTGGTAAGAGGCACATCTTCATCATCATTGACCGATTCACCAAGTACGCTAGACTAGTACCAATGCCAGAGACAACCAGGACTGAATACGTTATCAAGTTGTTCAAGGACAACTGGGTAAGGGACTTTGGTTTACCACAGACCATCATTAGTGACTGAGAAGTCCGATTTACAAGTGAGCTGTGGAAGAAGACTGCGGAACAGATGGACAGTCAACTTCAAATGACTTCAAGGAATCATCCCGAAGCCAACGGACAAGCCAAACAGATGAATAGAGTTGTACAGCACTTGCTGAGGCATTACATCAAGCCCAACCAGGATGACTGGGATGAGCAGTTACCTCTCCGCCAGCATGTACAACAATGCTATACATAGCAGTCCCGGCGTTAGTCCTAACCAGCTGCGCTTAGGATGGAGACCTAGATCAGCACTACACTTCCTCCTACCTGAAAACCGACCTGTTGCAACTCCAGGCACGGTGGAATACGGTGTGCAGTATGAGAAGTTGCTGCAAGAGGTTGTTGAACATATGAAGAAGGCTCAGCAAGCCATGATTGCTTCTGAGAATCAACATCGCAGACAGTCCACATTTCAGGTAGGGGAACGTGTCTGGGTCAAGGCTAGTGAGTTAGGACAGGAGTTCGGAATATCTCGTAAACTAATGCCTCAATACTTTGGTCTCTGGGAAGTCTTGGATGTAGTGGGGGATGAAATGGATGGTCCTACGTACGTCATTCGTGTCCCTAGTCATCTACGCACTCACCCAGTTTTTCATGCCTCAAAGCTTGCACCTTTCGCTGAGACAGATTAATTCCCTTCCAGGAGATCGATGCTGCCCCCAACCATGGATGGTCAAGTTGACATCGACGACATTGTGGATCACAGGGACATGCCTGTTCCAAAGCCGCTGGGCCGAGGAAGACCTCCCAAGCCCAAGAGAGAGTACCGCGTTAGATTCAGGCATCACACGGATCCTAAAGAAGATCGTTGGTTTACCAGGGAGGAACTGATTGACACAGCCCCTCAGGTGGTGGCAGACTATGCGAAGAAACTCAAAGGGAAGGCGCCTGCGAAGTAAGCATCTCAGCGGACTTTCGAAGCTAAGGGGGATGGAATGTGAGGATTGAGCCCTCAAGTAGGGGCCTTGCCATGATGTACATGTTCTGGGCTAAGGCCCCAGCATGCCTAGTGCCCGCCCTAAGTGAAGGCGGGCCAGCAAATCGACAAGAGCCCTCTGTGCAACATTTCACGAAGTGGGGTCCATACAGTTGCAGCACGCCAGTTGGTTGGAGTGCACCGAGTCTYGGATTTCAGCAAATGCTGAAAGCCCAGGGCCTCTGAGTTGGTTAGGCCCTGGGCATCTGAACGTGAGGCCGACAATGCATGCTGGGAAGAGAGGCCGAAAATGCCGAAGGGAAATCGTCCCACTGTCTGAATCTGGCCGCAGGCCTTGATGAAGGAGGCGCAACTGCCTTACCCCGGGGCCCAACTGTATCGAGTTGGCTTCAGCCTCTGGGCCCCGGTCACAGGCTGAAGGGAGGCCGCCCACACGCTGCACTGGCATATAGGCAAGCAGGGCGAGGCAGCGGGGATCTTGGCCATTGCGGGCAATGCCGGCACGCTGCGCAAATGCGAGCTGCTGGCTGCTGCGCTGCGCTAAGAGGTAGTGCAAGGCAGGCATGCGCTAGGCGGTAGGGCGCTGCCTGTGCACTGGGCGCTTGGCGGCCATAGCCGGGCTGCAGAGGGCGCAGAGGGGTGAAGGGCGAAGGTGGTACTTCGGAGGTGAAGGGCGCTGTGYGGGTAACAAGGGAGAGTGTGGGGAAGAGAACTACCTGGTGAGAGATGGAGGTCTGCATTGGTGTTGACATCATCAGTCGCTGGTAGTCAAGTTGTCTGGTTGCTGTTCATTGCTGTAGTTGTAGGATAGGCTGTAGAGTAGATAGGGCGCCTGGCGCCATTCACAAGAGAGAGCTACATTTGGGTTATGCTGTTGGTGTTGCCCTGTTGGGCATGGACATTGACTCACGATTCTTCTGTATCATTCTCAATGGGATGGTTACTCGGTTCCATGTGCTATCTGCTTTGGCTTTGAATACTTGGACTTCAATGTGATTTTGCATTCTGGATTTCTGTGCTTCGTCCATACTCATGTTCCTTGCACTTCCCTTGCCGAGCCTGGTAAACACCATGCGCATTGCGCGCCAAAAAGAAAAGAACCAGTGTGGGCCTTCTGCAAATGTGTTCTCTGTACTGTGGGGAACATTACTCTGTGCATCACAAGCAACACCTGAATAGAGGAGTGTTCATATTCCGTCCTGCTTTGCTGATCATCAAGCCACCAGTTTGCCAGCCCAGCCACTTTTCTCTGACGCAGCCGCAGGCATGCTGTAAGTTTCAGGGGTCGACCTCCTGGAGCAAAATGCCCGGCGCTGCCAATGAGAACACAAAACAGGGACACTGACATAGCATGGATGTACGGGGGTAGAAGAGCGATCTGGAAGCGGGACGCTACAACTGTCGGCAGGTGGATGAGACTGTTGACATGCAAGTGAACATGCCCTTGGGGAGGAGGGAGGAAAGAAGAGCAACACCTCTAGGATCACAGGATGTGGAGGACGAAGAGGAGTGCAAGTTGTAGAAGGAAAGAGGGCAATGAAGGGGCAGCTCACTTCAACCAGCCACATGGACTCGGGGACGCTCACTGGAATTTCATGCTCAGGAAAGCAGGGTGCAACATGAGCACTCCCAAGTTTTCCTGATATCCTCTGCTCTGCTGACCATTCAAGTCCATGGTTAGGTCATCCAAACCTGTGTTCTACTGATTTACGGTGCTCGCCGCTGGCCATCCACACCTATGTGTTTTATTGATTTACGGTGCTCAGTGATGGCCATCCGCATGTGTGTTCTATTGATTTATGGCGCTCACCGCTGGTAATCCACATGTTCGTTCTATTGATTTATGCTGCTCGCCGCGTCCTGCTCGTTGTTGCCCGAAGTGGATCCGGTAGGTGGATTTCAATCACCAGCAAAGCAGGGTGAAACATGAAGGTATGAACACTCCTTGCTCCATTCGCGTCATTGGACTAGTGTAGACCATACTTGCAAGCAGACGGACCGTGTGTGGCACCCTCCCCCCAGACCGGACGGACCCGGACCGGACCGGACAGGACCGGACGGGGGCATTTTTTTTTTTTTTGGGGGGGGGGGGGCGTAACTGGTCGTCGGGCGCACATTCGTGCGCCGCACGGGTCCGGTCCGGCGGTCTGCCGCACGTACGGAACCGCCCGGACGGCGTCCGCTTGCAAGTATGGTCTAGACTCTACAGAACAATCTTTCCCACAGCACACGGGACTCGGTTGCGAGCGAGATAACACAAAGCGGCATGGACACAGCACGCACGAGCTCCCCTTCAACCACCCACACAAAGTTTTGGGAAGGACATGAAAAGACTATATGTATGTATGCCAGAACCTGGGAACTTGTCTAGTCTCTACAACAGCCTGGACTTCAAAAAAAAGAAAAGAAAAGAAAAGAAAAAAGAACATGGGAACCTGGGTGCTAGAGATTCGGGAACACAGGTCCAAGACACGGAGTAAAGATCAGAGAGCTGCTACACACCCAATAAATGAAGTTGCCGTCAGCCAACCTCTAGATGTTTAACCACCAGCACATTTCCCAGCCATTTTTTCTAAGTTCCTTCTTGCATGCTGCCGCAACTTTCAGGGCTCGGGCACCAGAGCAAAATGACTGGCAGCACCAGCCAAAAGGAGGCCCGCACCATTTTTTTTTTCTTTTTTTTTTTTTTTTGGGGGGGGGGGGGCGCACATCATGTTTCCGATCCTGGAGAAAAGTGCCTTGGAAGTACAGGTTAACGTTGAGGGGCACCGCGTTCAACCAAGAGTCAAGGTTAAGCTGAGGACGCATTGCAACCAGCATACTTATGGATTCACCCATCATTCCACTACATGCACTTGCAGTTGAGCAGGAAAGCACAAGTCGTCTCAAAGATAGTAATCCATCACATCCTTGAAGCACCAGTACACCACACATCCACCCGCGGGTGTCACAGCACGAAACCCGCACCACTTCGGAGGCTGCCTATTTTTTTTTTCAACGGTGCCCCACGCCGCACAGCCCCTCCGAGTTTTGCTTGTGGCGACAAAAAACTTTCTGCAAGGCTGGGGCTGTACTTGCGGTTTAAACAAAAATATGTGGGCCCCGTCCACAGGCCCAACGGTTCACGTGTGGTACAAGAGCCTCCCCATCAGAGGCCGCCTGGCCCACTGATTGGGCGAATCTCTCCTTTCCTGCGCAGCATAGGTGCACTGGTCTAGCTAACTTTTTTGTGCCACGCAGGTGGACTGCCCAAGCCTTCTTTTGCCCTCAGCAGGAGCAACCGAGCTCGGCCTTCTTTTCTGAACTGGATGGTGTCACATGGCACGTTTACGCACATCACATCACCCCATGGCACTTCGCTTTCATGATGCAAGGGTTGCCCGCGTGCGCATGTGCATGCACACACATGCATGCACGCCTGTGTGTGTGTTTGTTGGGGGGGGGGCGGGAGGGGTAGGCTCCTGGATTGACGCAAGTACCAGGTCTAAAAGGAAAATGGTCATACAGGATGGGGTCAATGACTTGTCATTTCCAGGAATAGGGCTAGGTCAAAACTTGAGGAGTATGGGAAGGGCATCACTTGGAGCCCCAAGGGATATAGTACCTCCAACACAGGACGATTAATGACCAAAGCACTCACTCACGGTATAGTAAGTTGTTCTAAGGGACGCTGGACCCGGTTTCCAGGGTTGTCGAGCCCCAGCCCCGGGGCCCCGGCGGGGGTCCCGGGGGCCGGGGGTCGGCACCCCTGGCCCCGGCAAAAAAAGTTCCAAAA